TCATTATCGCGTCGTGTGGTTGCACCCGGTGGAGGATGCCTGTATGTTCTGTAGCGAAGTTCTTCATAGAACTGTTCAGGCGGACATGGTTATATCTAAAGCGACCCACGGATTTTGAACACAGAACGCGCGATGATGACCTTCTTCCTTGCAGATTGTACACGGGTCTCTGCGAATGCAAACGCCGTAATGGCTTTTCACGCAGTTACTACAAATGCCTGCCTTTTCGGCCTTACACGCCCTACTGCTGAGATAAGGAAATGACGGGCAATCGGAAGTGTAGTGATCGCGTCCGTCGCAAAAAGCACAGAACTCCACCCACGTTCCCGTGGGGCGTTTCGGAGTCCTAGTGGGAAAACGCGATCGAGGCGCTGCTCGTCGTTCAGCAGCGACAAGCGTATCCGCGTCTTCCGGACGTGAACTAAATGAAGGGCTGTTGGACTACGGCGGGCCTTCAAGGGAGGAAGAAGAGTTGTAGTAGAATCGTTGCCGTCGTCGTACCTTCTTTTCCCGGCTCCAGGGGGTGTAGGTGCTGTAACTGGATCAAAAATGGATGACAGTCCAGCCTCCCGCCCCTCAGAGCGCTTGCGACCGTGGCCCAGATCTGTATCGTGGAAGACGCGGTATCGTTATTGTGGTACGTTGGTTGCTATGGCGTGCGGGCCTTTGTGTTTCTTCCTGTAAGTGCCTGTTTACGGCGCTTACACGAAGGTATTCTTCTGTTGTTTTTGTCATGAGAGCGCTTGAAAAATTATCACGCCACCAGCGCAATGTTTGTAGATAGGAGGTGGGGTCGTCTGACCATGTTGGCGGTAATGAGACAGCGGAGTCTAACCTATATTGTTCGTCCTCGGTGGTGACCAGTACTTTTCTCTTGTTCATAAAATGTACCATTTGGTGGGTCTCGAGAACTCTGATCATGCGCGTTGCATGTGCGGTTACAGCTGAACTATGTAAAAGGATCTCTTTTATGATATCTTCGCTGATGTTGAACAATTGTAGCGTGGCGCGAAAGTGGTCCTGGTCTTTCGACCAGGAGAGCAACCTTGGAATTATCAGCTCTTGGAGCTGGTCTCTATTGACTGATATAGCGGTTATGCTATGGTGGAGTTCTTGGATCCACCCCATTAGGTGGGTGTACCTGATGTCCGAAGGTTGCCTGCCAACTAGGAGAATAGCGAGGTCGTGGAACGAACTGGTGGCGTTCTTGAACTATGTTGAGTAAATTCTTTAACAAATGAACTATTTTGGCGACTTCTTCGAAGTCTGCCGGTCGTGCCGGCGTCGTTTCCGGCGCTGGAACGACCAGACCTCGAACTTGGTCACGCAAAACATTGTTAGTTGTAATATAATTGAAAACCGTTCGAAACTGATACGCTGTTAGCTCTTCAATCGAATAAGGCTCAACTTCAAATGTACTATGGGGTGCTTGCTTGTTCTCGATTGAAAGATAAGCTAGCTGCTGGATTGCGCCTTGATGGGTCTTTGGGGCCACTGTTCGCGCTTCTTCTGTTGTGCTTATTCAAAAAGGTAACGACTGATTTAATGAGACTCTTTTTGCGTTGAAGTGCGGCCTCCCTTGCTTTATGATCCTTGTGGGATTCGGTTCTCGCATTCACTATATCTCTGAATGTGACGCTGGACTTGCTTGTTTGCGAGGGAGGTGCTTTTGAGGGCTCCCAATGAGAAGTATCGACGTCCGGGAGTAAGGGTGGGCGAGGGTTGTTTGATGAACTAGTGTCCATATGGTCATCCTGTTCTTGTCCCTTTGATTATTTTGACTTACGTTCAATGAAGCGATGGCCAATGATATATCATTTGCTTTTGAGGTGGTACACGTCGGAAGATGAACTAGCAACAGGCTGCGTAGCGGGGGATGCACTGGTCGTGGTGTCGTTAATGGCTGGTGATGTGCGAGGCGAACCGTCCGTCAAGCGCGACGTTCTGGAAAAATTCAATGTTAAGTTAGCGTCTGGGTTGAACCTGCCTGACCACCTGTTGCGAGGTCTTCTTCCTCTTCCAATGGTCGATGACCGTCCCCGAAACAAGACACGGCGAAACATAATATGGAAATAGCACCAATATCGCAGATATCGAGGTAACCGTACTGAAAGAGAGAAGAAAATGGGAATACATGGAATATGAGCTAAACTATTCGGTAGAATACATACGCGCAATTGAGATGAAATACAATAGCTAGTAAGGATAATCAAGGTATGGTGCAATTCGAATGAATTAAACTGCAAATGAGATGAGAAGGTGGACTACTTCAAAAGACTGCTAATATCTATGATGTTGCAGTAAATGTGTTGGTAAAGGCGGTACAGGGGGGCCAAAAAAAGTCATTTTGCCTCCATGACTTTCAAGGCGCTATAAGTTACACTTTATTAAATTTTTATCGGACATTTTTAATACCATATTAAAGAGCGCATTAAATACTATAATGATACTCCGCCACAGCCTTCTGGAGGAGCGCCATCGAGAGATTCGGCCGCGCGAAAGTGAGTGGGTACCGGAGTTGAGCGAGATCGTTGATTTCTCCGCCACTGTAGACCACCCTGTTGAGCTCCGCCCGAACTAGGTAATTGAGTGGGTTCAGGTCAGGGGACATACTTCAATATTACATCTTCATCAGGTACGAAACGCCCTTCCATTCGAAGTAGGCGGGAGCCTTTCAATTCCATGTGATGGCACCCAAACCTGTAGCAGCACAAGGTCTCCAAGAAGGTACGGGCGACCACATGTAGGGAGGATATCCTTCTCGAGTTACTTGATGTAACCGCTCACACTTCAGTCGGGGTCTACAAAGAAAATATCGGTCTTCCCATTCCAGGTACGGCCGGTCCACACCATCAACCCGCGCCTTGGTGAATGGGGTGAAGATGATGTCCTGGACCGTAGCGACGTTGCCGGAGCTGCTCGATGTTGGGTCTTGCAGATCAAGAGTACTGGTCTCCAGGTAGCTATCCATGGGTGATTCCATTCAAGAAGTTCCGCAGCTGTTTGGAGGCCACGTGAATTCCAAAGGCGTTCTCCACTCAGGCCGCGACTGGAGATGACTTCATATTTTGGTGTACATGAAGGTGAATGGCGGCAGCCGGCTCCTGCTTATAGAGGAAGATCTTGGGTATCTTCCGCCCTGGTACTCATATCCACTTCCTCTGTCTGGGCTGCGAAAACTTCGCTCATATGTGACTCGGCCGGAATGACTTTTTTTGGCCCCCCCTGTATATTTCTGCAGACGAAACTTTCCCTCATTTTTGTGGTTTCTAAATCGCCTACAAATATTTGTTGGTTCGGCGAATTGAACTAATTAGTTCAAAACATGGTATCTCTCGCGATTGAATGATGTTCAACTATCGAAACAGGGTCTTATGCAAGGAGGACGAAAGGCATTGGTTTATGTCAATAGCTCAGTAGGACTTTCGGAAAAATGAGTTTCAAGAAAGCTTTTTCAGAGCGCGCGCGTATGAAGAAGAAATCGGTACCGTAAAATGTCGTGGTGGATAATGAGAAAACAAACAAAACTGAGTCGGCTCAACGGGCTGGTAATTGAAACGATAATTCTGATAAAACCTAGAAATCAGAAGCTGTTTTCCACCTGAAAAGTAGAAAACAGTCTTCTGCTTGAAAAGTAGAAAACGGAAAGTGTTCTCCACTTGAAAAGTAGGAAAACAGTAGGTGTTCTCCCCTTGAAAAGATATATTCGAGAATGAACCTTAAATGAAGTGGACAAACGAATGAATGAAATGAACGAACACTAATACTGAATCAATCAACGCTATCTAAGACGCACGCTAATAATTAGTACTGAGCATAGAACTTATTAAATTACTTCCCCTTGACGAAATTAAAATGGGTTGAAAACTAGAGAGGGTCGTAGAGGCCATGTGCCCATTAGCAGATGAAATTGCGGCGCAAACATGTATCTCGACGGAGGCAAGCTGCGCTAAAGCGCTGGCTATTGCTAAAATGGCTGAAGTTTAGGTTATTTGTAAGCTCCAAGTTGATATGTGGCTTGCGAAAGGTACTTTGTGACAACGCAAAATGAATTAAAAAACGATACAGCGCCTTGAGACGAAAGAGATCGAATTCGACTTGATAGAACGGCAATCGGATTCAACCAGATGAAACGGGTAATTGAGACGTATCATGTGACGATAACAGTTAGCAACTAGGATTACCAATGTGCACAATCCATTTCTTACAAGGAGCAATTATGAGTGTGAACGTCCTTGGGATGCTATGTTTGACATAGAAAAAAGCGAAAATCAGAAATACGATTTTGACGTCATCGCGTCTTCGTCGATCGATAGTGCGTGGCGGGAGCGGATGACTCAAGTAATCGAAGAGCACTGTATTAGAATCTGAGTTGTCGCGCCTTTATCGATCGATTGCTAGTGCGTGTTAGGACCTTATGATGTGATGATTTGAATAGCCTTTAGCTTAGCTGTCGGTGTGCGAGGGTCATTTGGCGCGATTGCTCAGCGGCGTACTCGGACAGATAGAAGTAAGTAGCTACCGAATGGAGTTTGTAGGAATGAATGAACTATAGAATTCTTGTGGTTTTCAACACAATACACGCTGTGATTTCGAGGATGTACATGATTTTTTGTCAAGTTTTTTTGGAGATCATTTGGAGGAATTACTAGTTGTCGATTCGGACGAGTTGTTTGGCTACGAAGTCGATTTGCCTGAAATGTTTGATGCGTAGGTGGCAAAAAAGGGGAATCGCGCCAACGACATACACTCACACTTGATTAGTTCTTGTGTAATAAATAGGAGTAGAAACTGTTGTCTATTGAAAGGAACTACGTGAATGGGGGATTTTTTTTGATTGCATGTTGTTGTTACGCGGTTTTTTTTTCAGATTTCAGAGTTTGTTAGTACGACAGTAGTGTGTATTATTGAGTAGTTTGTCTTTTGGCTGCCCTGTGAGGCTGAATCTTGGACGGCTGATGTTGGTTCCCTTTGCTTGTCATATAATCACCTCCAATGGGATGAGGTGATTGACCGAGCGGTCCAGGATTTTGTTGTTCCCAGTTTTCAGGCTCACAGATCTTATCAGCCCGTCCTCCGAACTATGCACCTTGGTATGCAAAAACTATGCAACTGAACTGCGCACAGAAAAACTGCAGCGTTAAAGCAAGCACGAATATAGACTAAAACCGCCCTTAAGAATGATAATTTAGTCGCGAATGATATTTATTAGTTTTGTGATTGAAATTTGTTACTGATATCTCAACTGTGGCGGATTTACTCTAGATCCTGCCACAGGAAATCCTTAGGACTTCCTTTGCAAAAGTGGTTCAGTGGGTTTTGAATTATTTATTAACAAAGACCAAATTAACACGAATGGTCAGGAGGAGGCACTAGCGTGCCGACTGTGCGGGATGATTTCTTGACAGTGCCCAACAAAGATGATGCGAAGGGCGGGCCACCCTTTGCATCTGGCCGCCACATGGGTGGCCGGGCATGGTCGCGGGGAAGTGCGCGACATCAACTCTAAGAATTTTGGTTGATGAGTGAAAAGATTGTTGAAGACGGTTTGTTGCCTCTTATGTATCTGAGTATTGCTATCTTAGTTTCTCACGTTCCTGTTGGTGTTTTGTTGGAGACGACCTTGTGCAATCATTGATGCTCCACTGACATTGAGACACTGGCGATTAGAGTAGCTGAACTAGTACAAATGGAAAAAAGAGATAGTGACTCCCAAATGGCATAAGCCGTCACTAAGCAAGTAGACTTCCCGTATAACACCGTGCCCATCAGCTACCTTATTGGATGGCCAGTCCACATGGTAGATGGGATGAGGTACCTCCCCTGGTGCGCCCAGTTTCTGGGACTAACAAATTAACGGTCTAGGACCTCAAGTCTACTTTTTTTCCCGTGAGGTTAGCGATTCACCCACAGCTAACCTTATCTATATTCCATTGTGTCTGTCTGGCTACTCTAGTTTGCCTTAGCTACGTGGAGGATCCGTGATTGATCAAATTTTATTTACCTAGGGCAGGTGGTAGATTGTTTTGAACTATCGATTACCGAAAATAGCGAGTTCGAATACCAACGGCCGATGCACCGTGTTGCATTTCGGCGGTGCCCATGGAAGGAAGGGGTCACTCCACTAGTGATAACGTGGAAACAAACGGCAATACTTCGAGGCTTCAACCTCGTTCAACCATAATCAGTAAAGAAATGAATAATAACTTTAATAAAAAGGAAACACCGGCTAAATTCACAACTTCAAAAATATGAACTAGTAACAGGTAAAAGGTGAATTCACTTACTTGTTCATTTGCGACGGCGATCACTGCAGGCGATGGCGCACCCGGGGCGAGCTAGGAGCGATCCTCGATATGCGACATATGGGCTATTTCTCTTCTACACGAATACCGGGCCGGGTATAGCACATTACGCGGACAGGAACGCTAAGTATTGAGAAATAAGTGACAGTTCCTGATGACAGTATTTGTGTCACGTCATCTTGCCATCGTCCCGAGAAGCAGGTCATGCCTAACTTTCAGCAGGCAACACTCCGGAATTACACTTCTTATATCTGATACTGAGTAGGCGTGGCGTGCGAACAAACATATAAAGGGTTACTGTGGGATATGTCAGATTGAGATAGCTGTCATCTTGTTCTGTGCTGGACAGAGGCATGATGTTAACTGTGTCAGAATGGAAATATCTCATCAAAAGCACAGTCGCCACGTTCAGTTGCAGCCACGCCTACCTCATCTCAGGAATTTCTGATGTGGGTAACGCCTTATTCACAAAAACTATGTAGCTGTGCGCACCATACCGCTTGCGATTTCTTCACAGACTATTTTGCCCAGTATCTTCATGAAACATTTCCAGAGAATGCTTCCTAGAGCATCTACTGCCATCTCATGTACCAGTGAGCCAAAAGCGCAAAAATATCAGTTTTCTGAACTTGAGCTGGTGCGTCAGAGTAATCCTTGGGAATCGGAACTATGGATGCCGAATGTGTTCTTTATGGCAGAATGTTTGGTCAGTTTGGTGGGAGAGAATGAGGAGGAGCAGTTTGTGTAGCGGGACTTCATTATGAAGGAAGTGGCTCGGATCAGTAGGGGAACATGTGAACTTCTCGCTTCCTCCACAAAACTGATACGAGCGGCGTCTTGCTAGCTTATGACTTCTGCGCCATCTAGCCAAGGTTTTCACATGCATAGCATGAAAATTAGATGATAAGTTCTAACTCCTTGCAGTCTTTGAACTTATTACACAGTAGCGATCGAGGGAAATTTCCGTTCACTCCAGACTATAAAGCAGTCTTGGCTGTATAAGTTAATAAAAAACTTACTGCTCTGAAGATCACTCCTCTTGTTTGCTTCAGCAACATCGCTCGAATACAAGATGGGATGGGCGACAAGTTGGGCCTTCTCATCCGGGGATTCTCCATGTTCTTCTCGTCGATC